CGCGCCACCCCCCCCCCCCAGCCGCTGGTTCCCTCCCTACCTCAACAGGACATGGGTTGAGAGAAGAACAAGGACATAACTCACCAATTACCATCAAGGGCAAAACAAACTCAGCTTGGGGAAAATTAGTTTAATTTATTGCTAATTAAAAATAGAATAGCATGATGAAAAACAAAGACAATACTAAAACCACCCTCCTCTCACCTCTCCCTTCTTCTCAGGCTCAACTTCACTCCTTCAATCCTGACTCCTCGACCTCCTCCCACCCTGAGCGGTGCAGAGAGATGGGGAATGGGGGCTGCAGTCAGTCTGTTAACAGCTCCTCTCTGTCGCTCCTTCCTCCTCCCACTGTTCCCTGCTCCCATATGGGGTCCCTTCCACAGGGTACAGTCCTTCATGAACTGCTCCAGCGTGAGTCCTTACCATGGCTGCATTTCTTCATGAATTACTCCAGCGTGGGTCCTTTCCATGGGACACAGTCCTTCAGGAGGAAAGTGCTCCAGGGTGAGTCTCCCATGGACTATAGTTCCTGCCAGGAAACCTGCTCCTGCGTCAGCTCTTCTCCACAGGCCTCAGGTCCTGCCAGGAGCCTGCTCAGACATGGGTTTGCCATGTACTACAGCTTCCTTCAGAGCACATAGAATCATAGAATGGTTAGGGTTGGAAGGGACCTCAAAGATCATCTAGTTCCAACCCCCCTGCCATGGGCAGGGAAACCCTCCACTACACCAGGTTGCCCAAAGCCTCATCCAACCTGGCCTTGAACACTTCCAGGGATGGTGCATCCTCAGCTTCTCTGGGCAACCTGTTCCACTGCCCCACCACCCTCTGAGTGACAAATTTCTTCCTTATATCTAATCTAAATCTGCCCTCTTTCAGTTTAAAGCTATTGCCCCTTGTCCTATCACTACAAGACCTAGTAAAAATTCCCTCTCCAGCTTTCCTGTAGGCCCGCTTTGAGTACTGGAAGGCTGCAATAAGATCACCCTGGAGCCTTCTCTTCTCCAGGCTGAACAGCCCCAACTCTCTCAGCCTGTCTTCATAGGAAAGGTGTTCCAGCCCTTGGATCATCTTCGTGGTCTTCCTCTGGACCAGCTCCAACAGCTCCCTGTCCTTATGTTGGGGCTCCAGAGCTGAATGCAGTATTCCAGGTGGGGTCTCATGAGAGCAGAGTAGAGGGGCAGAATCACCTCCCTCAACCTGCTGGCCATACTTCTTTTGATGCAGCTGAGGATATGGTTGGCTTTCTGGGCTGCCAGCACACATTGATGGCTCATGTTGAGCTTCTCATCCACCAGCACTCCAAGTCCTTTTCCTCAGGGCTGCTCTCAATCCATTCTTCTGCGCAGCCCGTACTGTACACATTCACCTACTGTGGCATGGCGACCTCCAGGGACTGCAGTGTGGCTATCTGCTCCGATGTGATCCTCCGTGGGGTGCAGGAGGATAACCTGCTTCACCATGCTCTTGTCCATGGGCTGCAGGGGAATCCCTCCTGGAGAACTTCTTCCCTCTGCTTCTGCTCTCACCTAGGTGTCTGCAGGGCTGTTTCCTCTCACATTTTTTTCTCACTTTTCTCTCTCAACTGCCAGGCAGCATTTTGTCCTTTCTTACACAGACTGAGTGGCTCTGGTGGGTCTGTTAGAGCTGGCTGGAATCACCTGTGTCTGGCATGGGGAAGCCCTGTCTTCTTCTCAAAAGGGGCTGCCCCACATCCCCCCCTGCCAGCAGCTGGGCACCTGCACTCATTACATTAGTTTTGAAGAAATTGTTGAAGCCCTGAGGAGAGGTTTGAGCAGTGACCTGCACCATCCCATCAGCTATCAAGAGTACTCACCAAATACAGCACTCTTGCACGTACATTGCATGCATAGACTGTTATTTGTGTGATGTCTGAGAAAAACTTATTTCTGAAGGGCACCTTCTCTTAGTTTGAGATCGTTGTATCAATATTGTGTCAGCAAAATTAACAGTTTAACATTATTCATCAAAATATTTTGAGAGGGCTTAGGTGTGTCTTCCTTTCTATTGTCACACAGTGTGTGTCTCACGGGAGTTGTTCTTAGAACATTTAATCAGAAATGATATAGGTTTATTTTTCCGAAGTGCCAAAATTGAAACATTTTCTAGTCAACCCTGTGATAAAGATAACGATTTAAATTATATTCAACTTTGTCATAATTGCAGGAGAATTGAATCTTTAAAAAGAGATAACGTTGGAAATCTGGAATTTTTAATACCATTTTGATGTCCCAGGACTCTTGCAAACAAAATATTTCCCATGCTTTATATGTATGCCTTGCTGTGGCTCCAGGGTTACATCATTTTCTTTCCGGTTCTATTATAAAACCTCACTAAATATGAAAAATGGAACTTTGTTGCTTTAGGGCATCAGCAGTAGCTGTGGGAATTGTATGCATTCGTAAAACCCAAGGATTCCTTTCTTCATTAAGAGAGGATAACTATCAGTAAATGAGATGTAGCTGAGTTTAATTTTGCACTACTGTTTCTTCACACTGCTTTTATTTTAAGATACGGTGTTGTAGTTTAAATGTGAAAAAGGATTTGTATTTTCACTTGTTCCTTGCAGACTGCTGTAATAGATCATCACTAACATCTTGGATTTAGAAAAACCCTGACAATTGCTAATGTGAAGTTTATTTGCATGTTGAGTTGTCACGTTTACTTCTTGTAACACTTAGTGAAGTCTGTTAAAAGCTTGTAAATTTTAATACTTGGAAACTTTATGCAAAACATTAACTGAGAGGTTTTTTGAATTTCAGGTTGGAATTGGTATATTTCTCTGAAATAAACTGCCATTTGACATTTCGAAGTTAATAGCAGGACTGAGATTTTGTAGATGTCTGATTTTTGCAGGGCTGCTGAGCATCTGCCTCTCCTTTTGGCTGAATTCATGTGGAGTTACTGGTGCACTTTACTTCAAATTGGTTTATCTTGCAGGATTACACAAGCAAGTATGATCCTGATGTTCACTTGACCAAATGCCTAAACTTTTCTTCTGCAACTCTACCAAATATGTTTCAAAGAAGCATAGAAAGTTACATAGATAAAAGAATGGGCACCACATACGGTCCTCCGGCAGGGAAGAAAATGACTGTCTTTATTGATGACATCAACATGCCTGTGATTAATGAATGGGGTGATCAGGTAAAAGGAAAATTTCAATGTTTGGGAATTGGTGGTCTTACCATTGCTACTGATGGAAATGCTGGTCTGACGGTTGCAAAAATACAAAAGTTTCGGAAAAAAGTATCACAATATGGACTACACCAAGTATGTCTACTAAAAGTAATTTCCCTAAGCCAGTTTTACAAGAATGATAAGCTCTCAGTCCCAAAAGATTAGAGTCAGTATCAAGCCACCTGATGCAATTGCCTTAGCTTTTAAGCCTTTTGTTTTTGGTTACATACATGCAGAATTTCCAAACTAGCTGTACTAAGAGCCAGTTTGGGAAAGGAAACATGCAAATCCAAGAAGCAATCACTCTATCCTTCCATCTGCTCTGGACTTTAAAATACAGTTATTATTAGGTGAAATCTAACATCACAGTTGACATCCAAGACTAGCGGGATGTCCTGAGGTATTGATAAATGAATACTTATAGACCTATCCTCTGAAAATCTGACTTAAATTCAAAAAAATTACTGCTGAGAAAAAGTAATTTTCCTGCTCCCAGTATAGCTCTGTAAACTTGTTCTCTCACTGTCTCTATACAAATGAATGTATGACTATACTTTATGCTAAACTAACCATTCTTTGTCACTATCTAGATGCCTGTGTTGATCTAAATATGCAGTCTGGCTTGAAACTTAAAAGTGCTGAATTTTCTTCAATTGATGTTATAGAAATCCAGTTGAATGTCTGACCTCATGTCCACAACCATGTAGCACGTGAAGCTTACATGCAGCCAATCCACTGCATTAGATTGCTGCTTACCACGTTGCATGGCTTTATAAATTGCTGAAGTGTACAACAGAATACTTGAAATTAAGAAAGATAAGAGTCTTTCTTAAGAAATCAAGAAATTAAGAAAGATAAGAGTCTTTCCTTCTGTCTACTAATTTGTTATACTGGAGATTTCTTTTTTTTTTTTTTTTTTTAAGTTATGAACCCTGAGATACTTAACTACTCCATTTCTTTTTTTGGGGGCAATAACTAGATCACCAATGAGATTGTAAGACAGCTGATGGAACAGAAAGGTTTCTACAATTTGGAGAAGCCAGGAGAATTCACGAATGTGGTTGACATTCAATTTGTAGCTGCTATGATTCACCCTGGTGGAGGTCGGAACGACATCCCACAGCGCCTGAAACGCCAGTTCACCATCTACAACTGCACACTTCCTTCCAGTTCCTCCATTGACAAAATATTTCGAACAATAGCTGAAGGCTATTTCTGCGAACAACGAGGTTTCCCTGCAGAAATATGTAAACTGGCTTCAGCATTAGTATCTACAACTCGAAAGATTTGGCAAACGACAAAAGCAAAGGTAAAATTATGTCTGTTAAAAATCCTTTGAAATATTTGTACCATGACAAAGCAACAAGACTCAGGTCTTTTGTACTGACATATGTGTTAGTACTTCATATTGTGAAGCTGTGACCTGTATATGTAACTGCTGGCTCATGCCTCTGTTCTGCATTTGTTGCTATCAACACCTAGTTAGGTGATTATAAAATGAAAATAAAAAACATATAACAGAGAGTTATTTAAGACCTTAAGTTTCTATTAATTCATGAAATGCAAAACCCCCAGAATTTAATGTGAAACTGGTGCGGTAGAGTTGAAAATTGCACCCAGAATCTGACAGTTTAACTAACAAAAATTTTTTACCATGAGAGTTGTAGAACACTGGAACAGGTTGCCCAGAGAGGTGGTGGATGCTCCATCCCTGGAGACGTTCAAGGCCAGGTTGGATGAGGCCCTGAGCAACCTGATCTAGTTGGAGATATCCCTGTTCCTTGCAGGGGGGTTGGACTAGATGACCTTTGAAGGTCCCTTCCAGCCCTAACCATTCTATGATTCTATAATCATATGCAGTGCTTTCTATAGCTAATACAAGAATTGCATTATATAACTATAATGTAGTAATCATAGCTGATAGGAACATTTAGGTGTCTTCTGGTTGAGAAAATGTCAAGGGCATAAGCAACCATGAAAATGAAAAATTAGATAGGAACCTTCTGTAAAGATGTTTGGGATTGTAAGAAACTTTAAAGATCTGAAGTAAATGAAAGAAGTCAAATTTGGGAGAGAGGGAATCAGTTCAAAACAAATAAAACCTGGTGTTTAGTAAATTCCAAATACTTGCTTCTTCCATTTCAAACAGATTGTAAAAACATTTAACTGCAATTCCTGAACAAATGTTGCTTTGAAACAGAAAATAAAATTTATGTGTAGAATGAAATTTGAAAAGTTGAGTAAAATAGAAATGTGTGCCAAATTTGATCTTCTAATGAAAAAAGTGGAAGGGAGTAATGGAAAGATAGGGATAGACAGGGATTTGATAAATTATATTTTCTAGTCCAAAAAAGCTTGGTCAGAACTTCCCAAACAACTCAACTGTAGACATAAACTTGGCTCACAGAGAAATAGAGAGAGTTCTAGTGAAACTATCGACCAGTCAACTATTGACCAGTATGTTCAACAGAAATGGCGCTTATTGCTGCCAATTAACTGCCTACAGAGAAAATGTAGCTTTTACAAAGTTTTTCATTTTTCAAATTCTCTTTTCAAATTTTTCTACTCTCTTTTCTTTGCTTTTCCTCACCTACTTTTCGTTTTCCTCATGAACTTTTCCGCATGTGTTCTTGGAAAGGACAAAAGAGAGTGACAGAAATGATCTGGAAGAAAGGGCAGGAGCAATACCACAGGTTAAGCAGTGCTGGCATTTTTACTGTGGCCCTTAATGCCATCATTAACTAACCTGTCTTGGCTACCCTTCAGTCCATGTTCCTGAGCTCGAAAGATTCAAAGAAACTCGAGTGAAATTGGTGTGAACTTAAAGAGCTGCTCATCGCTAGACATTTCTTCATTTTTACCTTTGCCTCTTAAATGCCAAGCATGTATTTCTGCTTTAATGCAATATTGATTTTGAGGTTTGCGAAAATTTCCGTATTCATTTAATTCTAGATAGAAAACATTTTTATTTAGTAGTTACCTGAATATAGCTTGTGATGTTATTTTGTAGATGTTACCAACTCCAGCTAAATTTCATTACATCTTTAATTTACGAGACCTGAGTCGTATTTGGCAAGGAATACTTACAGTAACTTCTGAAGTCTGCCGGAGCATCAGTGTTTTGGTAGCCTTGTTCCAGCATGAATGCAGACGTGTTATTGCAGACAGGTTCATCAGCCAAAGTGATAAAGACTGGTTTGAAGATACGATGAAAGAGGTAGGCCAATAGTGTTTAAGTATTTGCCACAGAAAGAGGCCAATGAAGTGTTTCGTTACTAAAGCAATCCTTAATGTATTGTTGTAGATTGCTGCTGCAGAACATGGTCAAAATCTATTTGAAGATGAATCCACGGAATTATACTTTGTGGATTTCTTGCGTGATGTCCCGGAAGTCACTGGAGATGAGCCTGATGATGCAGAGTTGAAGGCTCCTAAAATTTATGAGCTTATCCCTTCTTTGGATTATTTGGCTGAAAGATTGCAGATGTTCATGCAACAGTACAATGAAACAATCAGAGGATCAAAGATGGATTTAGTATTTTTCAAGGTATTAGTGCCTGTAATTATATTAACTCAAAAAGTGCCTGGTCTTTTGCACTTCCTGATACATGGATCTCGAATGTTTCCATCAAATTATCTTGGAAATAGCTCAGAATGGCTAGCCCAGTATCCAGCGAGCATTACAAGGAAGCTCTGTAAAGCTATGCTGCGATCTCTTGGCTGCCTTCATTCTCAAAAATTATTCCATGTTTTTGCAGTTCCCAACTTTTCTTTCTCCTGCCTTGCGTAATGCAAAGCATGAGTCGTTTGTTTCTACAGTTCACAGTGTGTTTGTTTCTATAGAGCACAGAGTGAATGTCATCTTGCATCTCTGGGAGTTACCTCGTTCTCAAAGGTCTCTTGATGCATGATGCTTTCTTCGGCTCTAGACTGAATGCTTTAATAGATTATTAAGGCATTTCAAATTACTTATTTCTCTATGAAAAATGCAATGGTTGAATAAGAAATGTCTATAGCATACTTGTATTTTACTTTTGGCAGCGTATTTAGAGAGCCTGTAAATAACTCAGCTAAAAGGTTGGGGGAGGGTGTCCTAAGGGGCACGCCCTCAGATCTGCTGAGTACAAACACTGCGTATGACATTGCTTCATATGAACTCGATACCAGGACATTTCTTTTGAGCTAGCCCTGCTGCCCGGTGAAGCCAGAGGGAAATCTCTTCATCTTGATGAGTACAGCACTGACTCTTTGACATATGCTCCAGAGAAGGCATCTGGCTGTTGAGAAGTGGTTGCTCAGTGATGTGCTTCTAGACTAAGATTATATTCTTTTTACATCTTGTAATCTCTTTTTTTCTCAATACACAGGATGCGATCGTCCATTTGATTAAAATATCGCGGATTATTCGTACTCCACAAGGAAATGCATTGTTGGTGGGTGTGGGTGGATCTGGAAAACAGAGTCTGACCAGACTAGCATCATATATTGCTGGATATGAGAGCTTTCAGATTACTTTAACAAGGTAACACAACACAGTGTACGTAGACATTTGCTCCTTAATTTGCCATAGAAATGAACTGCTCACAGTCAGTTTGAAATGCAAACCTGTCAAACATTCTATCCCTCATTGTAAACTACATTTTCAATCAAAAGCACCTGTGCAAATGCACAGTCTATAGATGACAGATCCTGGGTCTTTGTTTTGCTGCCTTTATGCTATTGACAAGAAATCTATCTTTCCTTCAGCATTTGAATCTGCAATGTAATCCTGTGAAATCCCACTAAAATACCATTTAGCATAAAGATAACATGCAATAACCTGCTGCTATACTCTGCATAGTGGGCAAATGCTGATGGCCAGGGGAAATAGTAACTTTTTCTATATACTAGGTAGTGCTGGAATTTCATAATTTGTAGAAATTTGAGAGGAGGGGGGTGTGCCATTTTAAAAATATAGAAGTTAGAACTCTGTATTTTAAGTTCCATTTACTTGGTTTCTTTTAAGAGGCCTTTTTATTAACCTTACTATACTTCATTTTATATTCCGTAATCTGAAATCTGTAGTTGAATTTGTATGGACTTCATCTGAATTTTACTTGTATGCACCAGCTATAAGAGGTGTAATGAAAGAACCAGTCATGGTCTCCATTTACAGCAGAGTTGATCAACCCAAGTGATAATGTTCAAACATCGTTTATGGGGCTTGATTTCAGTTAAAGCAAATAGCACAACAAAAACCTCAGTCCTGGTTGTTCTTGTCTCTTTATGATTTCCTTTAACCTGCTCTCTATATCTTTGAAAGATAATCCAGCTGTATTTATGTAATGGATGCAGGTATCAGAACTTACTTGACAGCTTAATCCAACAGTATTAACCTACAGTTCTAATAAAGAATTTACAACTGCAAACTGTAAGAATGCAAAGCATCGTCATCATTGCCGTAGACATAGTATTACTCTTATTGTCTCTTTTGCCAGCATGTTATTCTGTTGCTTTCGCATCCTTTCCCATTGCTTATGGTACTGATCATTTACTTTTGGAAAATGTTTAAGAGAAAAACCCTGGAAAAATGAAACTAGGCGATACGGTATTAATTTCCTATGTAGATTTATTCTTGCCTTAAGGAAGCTGAGCCAGATGATAGATATTTCCTAGAATGATCTGTAATTTTTGTTCTCTCTTTCTTTAATCCTTTTCTATCCCAGAACGTATGCCACCAATAACCTTTTGGATGATCTGAAAATCTTGTACCGCACTGCTGGACAAAAAGGAAAGGGCATTATCTTTATATTCACAGACAATGAAATAAGAGATGAATCTTTTCTTGAGTACATGAACAATGTTTTGACTTCAGGTGAAGTTTCAAATCTTTTTGCACGAGATGAAATAGGTGAAATCACACAAGACCTGATACCGGCAATGAAGAAGGAGTACCCAAGGTGTACTCCCACTGGTGAAAATCTTTATAATTACTTTCTTGCTCGAGTTCGTAATAACCTGCATGTGGTTCTTTGTTTTTCTCCTGTTGGAGAAAAATTCAGAACTCGCGCACTCAAATTTCCAGGTCTGATTTCAGCCTGTACCATGGACTGGTTCCAGCACTGGCCTAAAGATGCTCTTGTAGCAGTTGCACAGCATTTTTTAGTTTCCTACCATATTGAGTGCACAGACGGAGTGAAACAAAGTGTTGTTAACACCATGGGAACATTTCAAGATATTGTAGCTGAAAAATGTGTTGAATACTTTGAACGATATAGGCGAAGAACATTTGTGACTCCAAAATCTTACCTGTCCTTCATTGGAGGCTACAAAGCTATTTACAAAGAGAAGTTTGCCAATGTTGGAAGTTTGTCTGAACGCATGAGAACAGGTACTGTAAACTCTGTTTGATTTTGTTCTTTTGTTTTTAAAAAGGTAAGAAGAATCTGAGCAAAAGTATGTAAAAGTATAAATTCTTATACGCCTAGAGATTGAAGTTATGGATTTAAATCGTGAGCTCACTTTCATTTGAAAGCAGACTCCTATATTTTCAGCTGTGTTGTGTGTGTTTACAAACCATGTAGAGGTTTTGTTTCAATGAACTTTGTGAATATTGCAGATTGCAGATGTGATTTGAAAATAGTATTAGCTAGCAGTTAAAATACCTGGAACTCCCACTTTGACATGTATGCATGATAAAGAACTACTGAGATCCTAGTTGTCACATTTAGACGTGCTAGAAGTAAAGATGAGGGAAGGTAAGTAAATATTCAGGTTCAGTCACTCTGAAGAATCTTTTAAAGAAACAGTTATATGGCAAATGTAAAATTTCCAAAATATTGCACTGCACAAGGTCATACACAGTAAACACTGGAACTGAATGGTGTTTGGAGGTGAATGTGAACTTCAGCTTTTTCTTCTCCCATTGTCGCCAATTGCAGAACTGAGCTCTGTACAAATACCTCCATAGGTAGAGGGTGACTGGCTGCCTGGAAGGAATATATGTGATTTTTTTGAGGATTAGAAAGATCTACATGATGCATTTACATTTACATACATGTATTTATATATAAGGATTATCATAGTGGTAAATTTTCTGGGTGATTTTCTCATCATTTGATAAAAATGTTGGAGCACTGCATTACTCAAGAATCTGTAGTTTCTTTTACCCTCATATCATCTGGATGTTCATGTAATGTTGAATTTAGAAGCTCAGCCTAGTCTGCTTGTGTCTTCACTTGCATTGTCAGGATGCCAAATTCCTCCTGTGTTTTGTACAGAGTACAGTCTAGTACTTCTTATGATCTCATGGATTTCTGAAATTGCACTCATAATTATTGAGTGCCATTCACAATACTAATATTTTTCAATATATGTGTTTAATATTTAGTGTCCCTCTCATATATAAGAATGTAGTATCAAGTGGAACAAAATCAACATTATTAAAAAAAAAAAAAAAGAAAAATTAAATAGCAAATGGATATTATCTGATTATCTATGCTTAATTTTGGTGTTCAACAAAGGAGATCACTCACTGGGGTTCCTAAATATGAATCTGTGTGACTTGTTTTGAGTATCCAGATTGCTTCGCTGAGATTTCTCTCTCAATAGGTCTTCCTGTTGCTAAAATGGAATTTGTCCAACACAGGTCTTGCTAAACTGATGGAAGCTGAGGTTTCAGTAAATCAGCTCTCCAAAGAGTTGGTGATGAAGGAGAAAGATTTGGCTGTAGCTTCAAAAAAAGCTGATGAAGTTTTATTGGAAGTAACCATGAAAGCCCAAGCTGCTGAAAAGGTGAAAATGCAGGTGCAAAAGGTAAAAGACAAAGCTCAGGCCATTGTGGATGACATTGCCATTGACAAAGCAGCAGCAGAAGAGAAGCTTGAAGCTGCAAGACCTGCATTGGAAGAAGCTGAGGCGGCTCTGCAGGTCAGAGTCAAAGATATTCTGAACATGCATGTAGTTAATGATTGTTATTTGTAATAATATCGCTTATGCTTCTGACATGAAAAAAAAATATTGAAAGGACTAGCACTGACCTCTTAATCCTTGCAGAAGAAAACCTGAAAACTGAGGCAGTGCAGAGGTAGGATGGGCAGAAGCTCCTCTACGGTCAGATAATGAAGCAGTCATTGAGTTGCAGTATCCTTAAGGACTTTCGGTAGTATTGCTTCTGGGTGAACTGCAAAACTGCAGCAATTGCATTATATATACAGTCCTCTCAAAAACCATATTTCTCTACCATCAAGTGATTGCTTAAATAAATGGATTATTTTATTTTTTATTTTTTCAGACAATAAAACCTTCTGACATTGCAACTGTTCGCAAACTGGGTAAACCTCCTCACTTGATAATGCGAATTATGGATTGTGTGCTACTTTTATTCCAAAGAAAAATAGACGCAGTAACACCTGATCAAGAACGCCCATGTGTGAAGCCATCATGGACTGAGGCTCTGAAGCTAATGAATAATTCAGGATTTCTTAGCATGTTGCTTACTTTCCAGAAGGTAAGAAGTTAATTGTGGCACTATTACTCCTATCACTATCTTTAGGGACCATGTGAAAGTATATTCTGCCTTCAAAGGTAGTTTGAAACAGATGAGGCTTTTGTGTACCTATAGTTGTAGATACCTTCGTGATCATTCCTCTCCATTTTCATGGTTTGTTGTTTCAGTAACCTTTCTCTTGGGCCACACAGTTGTGATGGCAGACACAAGTATCCCAAGCACTAGATCAAATTTTGAGAAGCTTAGTGTTATCTTTATTCAGGTAGTCCCTGCTTCTCAGTAGGAATTTGCCTTAAAAGAACTCACTGTTGATTTTTCAAATGGCTCACCATCTCCAGTGCTACCAGGCCTGTTTGCATATAAGGCACTCTAGAACTCTGCCTCAGGAATTGTTTGCTGGGGAGCTAGGAGGAAATACAGAAGAAAATGTACATCCTGTCTGGAAGAATACTGAGATATTTGGGAACTTTCGAGGTTCTTTCGCTAGAAATATACTGAAATGCAGAATGAACTGAGAACCTTTGTGTCAACTGTAAGAAAAATAAAAACAAATGCAGGTTTTTATTTCTGTCAGGATAGAAACTTGTCCCATTTACAGGAAGATTCACTGAACTGTGAGACAAGGGAAATTTCTCTGCAGGGAAGGGAAGAAAGATGTCACAGATAGCTGGACCAGAAAAAGAGCTAGGCTGGAATATGGAATGGCAGAATCATGGCCCAACTTTAAAATCCAGAAAACCAAGCAGGTTTTGGCAAAACCTGGGTTTTCTGCAACATTGCAGAACATGCTCTTTCATTGATACACTGATTTTTTAATCTGCTTCAGCTGTGCATTTTGCTGATGCCTTTTCTGCTACTGAGATGTTTTTATTGTGCAGATGGGACTTGAAACCATGATTCTCACTATCCCCAGGAGCCATTTCTCTCAGTGAGCCATATTGAGAAGGCACCATGTGGAAACTGCCTCTGTAGACAGTCTCTTCCTGGGGCTGTCAATCTGGTCACTTTTCCAAGTGCTATCTTCACTAAACAGAAAGAGGAAATGAGTTTAAAGATAATGGGGACTAATTATACACTCCTTACTCAAGCTTCTCTCTAATGAGGCTTCCAGTTTTGGTACTTTTTAATAGTGTATGTGTTCCTGCTGGTAGTTGGCAACACATTTAACTTTACTCAGAGGAGTCAGAACAACCTCTATGGGACTGAGTTCTTGCAGGAATTGATACTGATGAATGTGGTGAAGAACACTGGACTACTTCTATCTCTGATGAGGTACTTCACATGCTGTCCTCCTGCCTCATTTCTTGTTTCTAAGATTGAGTATGTATAAGAAAGCTCATTGTGTCTGGAGTTCTGAGTAGACTACACTGCTTACTTGTTTGTGAGATTTTTTCTTGCCATATTTTTTTAGGCAAGGAAGATTAGTGGATGAAATAGTTCCTTGGGTTTAAAGTTCATTACTTAGAAGGAAAAGCATGAGATTTTTCAAGTTCTTGAACAGAGATTTAGGCCACTACTGATTGATCTTTGCTTCACCTTTGCCAGCTTGCTAGCTCATGATTTTGAGTAGGAGAATGAAAAAGTCAAAATGTTTCTCCAGCGCTATTTTACATTTTAGCAAAGGCTCATAGTGAAAACATCAGCATATTTGATCTTAGGAATAATACAATGAATGTTTATGTTCTTACAGTAGCTGGGGATCAGACTAGTACAAGACTCCTTTCTGCTATGCAGAAAGGCAGGAAAAGGATATATTGCTTGACTATGAATGGAGGATGATTTTTAGATGCATTAAAAGAAAGGCATTAATACATTGCCAAAAAAAGAAAGATTCTTAATGCCTCTATTGTTAAGCAACCATTGTTACCCTGTATAAGCTCTTCTACTCTCTACATTGCTTAAGGAGATGAATTCCATTTTCTTCTGACACTTACATAATTATAGATTAACCACCATCATCAAAAGATCTGGCTTTTCATGTTCTCAACAGATTGTGAAGGGGAAAAAAATCTGACATCAGAATAGTGCAATGAACAGCTAAAAGGAAAAGAGTTGGCTTCAGTGAAGTGAAGTCAGTGCCTTGCAGTTTTACCTTTTTCCTTCCTAAAGCTGCATGTTTGACTCCCTTAGCTGTATTCACACTAGTGCCTGTCTGATGCCATGGTGAGCTTGTTCAGGGAACTAGCCTAGAAGAAAACTAATCACTAGTTTTTGACTTAGATTTCTGTCATATTAGGTTCCAAACTAGCTCACCGAGCATCAGTGATGGTACTAAAGATAGGTCTAGAACATCTGGTTAAGGGGGAGAGGAAAGAAGGTACAGTGCTGTAGCAGCAATAACTTAGATCAGCTTAAGTTGTCATGGAGCTACAAGTACAAGTAATGTCTGTAAATCTTATGGGTCAAATAGAGATATTAAATGCAAACTCAAGTCCATCTGTTGCAATGGACGTAGGAGCTATTTTCACTGGAGTTCACAAAAAACAACTAATCTTCTGTCCTTTATAAGAGTGAAAAGGAACAGTGGTGTTTTGTTCATTTCTTCTGTGAGAAGTGGGAGCACCATGTTTTTAAAAGAAAAATGTTTCTGTGAAAATGAATTTATTCTAAAATCCATTTTAAAAAATAATTTTTCCTTTCCATTGACTAGGACTCAATTACAGGAGAAACTGTGGAGCTTTTAGAGCCTTATTTGGATATGGAGGATTATAATCTTGAGACTGCTAAAAAAGTATGTGGAAATGTAGCAGGTCTTTGCTCATGGACACAAGCAATGGCTTACTTCTATGGTATTAATAAAGAAGTTCTTCCTCTTAAGGTATTTCATATTAGTAATTTCATTTTTCTGAGAGACGACTGTAGTTGAGTGGAAAAAATGTTGCATTATTTTGGCTAAAGAAGATCACGAGTTACAAGGGATTCTTGTTTCTTCACACCTGGTTGTGAAGTCAAGCACACAGAGGTTAAGTATATCCTGGCAAATTTTTCCCCTGACACAGCTACCCTGTGGTACAGTTGTTACTTGTGTGAACACAGTCAACTTTCAACGGGAGCCTTAGTACACAGGTTCTTTATGGAGCCTGGCTATCTGCAAGTGGGAGACACCGATATTGTCTCTGCTCTCAGACTTGGTGCCAGGCACTATGGTTTTGAGAAAACTTCTCCTCGGATCTACTGGCCTGGAAAGGAGAATACTCATTGTGGTCTTGGTGGAATCTGGGAGACGAGAAACTGTTCTTGGCACAGAAGTATTGTTTAAGGAATTTAGCTGGAATTCATCTCTCTAAGAAAACTTTGGAGTGTCAAACTGCTACACATGAGTGTATATATAACAAAGTAAGTAGTCACCTGGCGTGGAATTCTGTCGTAATATTGAACTACAGTAG